TGCCTGTGTAACTTACCACCCGTGTGATCTTGGCTCCTGCATGGGTGTGTGGGGGTTGTGGGGTGCGTGTAGAAGAGATTGTCTCACGTGGCCTCTAAGGTCCCTGCCAGTTCTAGATTTTACGAGTAAAAAGCCCTCAGGGAGCTTACATTCTACTAGAGGAGACAAGTTGTACACTTATAATCATGCCCATAATATACACACATGGGTGCAACAACACGGTCCCGAAAGGGAAGGCCCTAGCAGCCTGGGAGATCTGGAAAGCTTTCATGTTTCCCTCCTTTCCCAACATTTCCCACACTATCATGCAGGCTCCACCCTTTTCTTCCCTCTACCAATCCTGTCCCTCACCCTACCTCCTCCAGGAGAATAATTACTGATTTGGAACCAAAGGACCAGAGTTGGAATTTTGGCTCTGCCACCACTACTCGATAGTCAATAAACCAACTCTGCAATCTTGGACAATGACAGCTGGCATTCAATTAGCCTTTAAGGTTTGCATTTTATATGTTAACTCATTTGCTCATTTGATAAGTCATGTATCCTTTCTGGGCCTGAGTTTCTTCATTCATAAAGTGAGATGAAGTCAAAGGTCCCTTCCAGTTATAAATCTATGATACCGAGTTGTTGACTCCCACCAAAATACAGCACATACTCACCTTTGGGTGACTCCTGAATATTTAATAAGTTGCAAATTAATAAATAAGAATTAAAAAAGAATCACACTACAAGTTTAGCTATTAGAAGGAAAGAATTACCTTATTTTTCTCTACTTTCAGTTTCTATTTTTCCATTCTTTTTCTATTTAGATTTCTGGGACAATTAAATGAGTTTTGGGGGACTTGGGGTGGGGTGGACCATGTTGCTCTGCAATTTCACCTATGTGTGGTCTCACCACATTCAGATAGCAATTGTTTTGAAACTTATAGACTTAGACAGGCATAATGATCTGGTGAATAGGGAACTGGCCTCAGGGCCGAGAAGATCTGACTCATATGTGCTGGCATCCTGGCTACTGGATTCTGGGCAAGTCACTTGACAACTCTTGCCCCTAAGCAATTCTTTTAACCAGAGGTTACAGAATTAACAAAGCCATGAATCAAAACCAACACCTTTACCTGTTACCCATAGGGCTTCATGATTGCCAGGTTTTAGGAAACCTCTATGAAAATCAATTTCATACTTGTTGACTTTGTGAAAAGCTTTAACCAAATTGTCCCCAAAAGGTTAAAAAAAAAACCCAAACACAAATGGTGACAAAAATAATAAAATGTATTTAAATTAAAAAAAAGCCCCACAAAACCAGCAGTTCCACTAGACTATCCAGATAGGACTGAAGGGAGGTCTTGAAGGTATCAGTGGATTGAAGAAATTCCAGATGGCTTCCCCTCCCCCAGCAGTCCCCAGTCCTACTCCAACAGGTTAGCCACTAAGAGGAATTTCTTGGCTAAGGAGCCCCCTGAAAGTCTGGTAAGGCATGCAGGAGGAGCAGTGGTCTGAGCTGGTCAAAGGGAGCATCTATAAAGGATTCTAAAGTCTCTGAGTCTCACATGAAACATTCCTAAGCTAGTCTGGCCTTCCTTGCCTTCCTCTCCTCTAAACTATGGTAATTATCCATGGGGAGAATTCTCCATGGACCATAGGGGTTTTTGGGTGGAAAGTAAGTTAAGAGTTCATCTAGTCCAAATCCCTAATTTGACAGAAAAAGAAACTGATGCCAAATATTTCACAGGGAGCGAGTGCTCCAGTCAACTCTACATTTACACACTCTCCACTAATTTTTAGCTCCAAAGCTTCTTGAAGGATCATAGAGCAGGAAGCAGAAGGCACCTTAGGGGTCATCTGGTCCAACTTCCTCGTTTTACAGACCAGGGAACACAGATTTTGAGAGATAATTGACTTCCTCAAGGTGACACAGACAGTGCTGTGGCAGGGGTGGGATTCAAACTCAGGTGGACAGATGATGCTCAATCCAACACCCTTCCACTGCACTAGGTTGCCTCAAGAGAAAGACTTCACCTAGGAGTCCATGAGACCTCCACCAGCCTAGCCCAGGGTGGCATTCGAGGTTGTTACTCAACAAATACTAGCTAGGCGTGGTCACCGTGAAAATGAAAGTGAGACTCCCCTTACACTTCACCTCCTGCCCATTCTCGGCAAGGTCCTCCCCACGAGAATCCCTCCTATGAACATGTGGCAGAATCTAGAATGTCAACAGCTAGTTTCATTTTTGTCTCTGTTTCTCTAGAGTCTTCCACAGGGTAGGAGCTTAATACATATTTATTGAACTGAATTTCAAGTTTTAATTACCTCCTGCTTCTTAAAGTCCAAACTAATGTTATTATTATTATCAGCTCCAGATGTTGGAGAGTTTTGGGATGAGATTTAGGACAGAAGTGTACAAACTGTATGTAAGTCTCCTGAAACAGTTTGAGAAACAAGTCCAGGACCCTGTGTATGTTCAAGAAGGTCCGACACCTAGGAGATCTAACCTTTATGTCGAGTGGCTTGGGAAGAAAGGTGAACTCTTTTGTTGTTTAAGGAAGAAGAAAAAACACAGCTGGCCTCAGCACAACTCGATAATGTGTTCAAAAAAGAAAATCAGGACTTTCGGAGAAGGAAGAATAAAGAGTTAGTCAGCCTGTGTAGCCTCCCAAAGGTTTGTTTTCATACCTCCAGGGTGTGGATATGCCGATTGTATATAAAGATTATACAGATGAATATGACATTTGTACTTGCATTAATAGGCACCTGGCAGGGTTTAAGTGGAAAACTTCAGCAACCCGTCTGGAGAGATGGCCCCCTAACTGAAGTTAAAACATTTTTTTAAAAAATCTATTCAGTCTATACTGACTTGAGCCAATACAATTTATCCAACTATATAGCTAGTGGTACAATTGCAGGATGAGAAGCAATTTAAGAGCACCTTTTACAGGCGACCGTTCAAAGGCTGCAAGAGGCTAGACCTTGCTCCAAGCAGGCTTTGCATCTATTTCCTTCTCTGAATTCTAAGCCTGAGTAATTACTTGGCTTCCCTATGCAACCTTGATATATTTATAAAACAGACTCTGGAGATCTTATTAGATATTCCAGGTATTACCAGGTCTTTGAACCCCGTCAGCCTATCCAGCCACGGGGCTGGAAGGGAACCCGGCCGGGCACCAGCCTAGCTCCTGCCTAACCCAGGGCGGCCTGCCAGGTGAACCTGGACATGCGACTTCCTGCTGGGGCTGGGGAGAGGGTGGCGAGGCTGCAGCCTGGCCCCCTGATGAGCCCCAGGCTAGCGCCCCACTGAGGGAAGCTTGCATCCCCGGCATCACCGGCCAGGGCTTCTTTTTCTTTGGTTCGAAACGCTGGGGAAACAGGGCGGGGAAGTCCTTGGAAGGTGGGGGAAAGGAGAGACAGCCAGGCGCTGTCTGGGGTACAGCGAGGGAAAGGGGGAAGGGTGTTGGTCTCCCCTCTTCCACAGCCCGGGACACCCTTCCCTCTCCTCCTTCCCCTTCCTCCTTTGCTTCTTCTCTTTCTCCCCCCCCATCTTTCCTCCCCTCCACTCCCCCTTTCCTTCACCTCTCCCCTTTTCCCTCTCTTTCCACTTCCCCTCTTTCTCCTCCCTCCCACTTTCCTTCTACTCTGCTTCCCTTTCCCCCTTCCCCTTCCCTTCCTCTGCTCAGTGCGCCTCCCTCCCCCTCCCCCACCCCTCTCCTCTTCTCCTCCCTCCCCCTCCCCCACCCCTCTCTTCTCCTCCCCCCACCCCCACCCTCCGCCCCGGGCTCTGCGGCAGGGACTGGGAGGAGAAACCCCGTAGGGGGAAGGGGGAGGGAGGAGGGAGGAGGGAACTTGGACAGGCTCGCCGCTCCAATTGCTGCAATATCCTTCCGCTGTAGGCCAAATAATCCCTTCGCCCTTAAAAAGCCCCGGGAGCTTCTCGCGCCCCCCATACCACCCAAAAAGCATCGGTGTCCGGCTTTCTTGTCCCTTGGTTCTGGGTTTTACCTCAAGTAGCGCCTCAGCGGCGGGATTCGTGGCCGCGGACGGGTTGGACGGTAGATATCCCTCCGCAAGAAACGCGTCCCGGCGGCCCGCATATAAAAGGCGGGTGGCGCGGCGGCGCTGTCTTTTCAGTCGGACACTGAGCGTTGGTTCGGATCATGTCTGGTGGCTCCGCGGATTATAACAGGTACGCGCCCGCAGCGGCGGTGGGGCCAGGGCCTTCTGGGTGGACTAGGCGGTGTAGCGGGCACCCGGGGAGACGCTAGGTTCCCGGGCGACTTCGGGGGCGCGGCGCCGGCGCAGCTTCGAGAAGCTTCCACAGCGCAGCCGCGGGGCCCGGCCCGGCCTTGCTGGGGCGGAGGCGGGGGGAGGGGGCGCCGCTCCTGCCTTGTCCCCGGACCCGGCCTAGGTAACGGCCGCGGGCGGCCGCCTCCCGGGCGGGGCGACACCGAGAAGGCCGCGGGCCGTGTGTGCTTATGCGTGTGCTTGGGTGGGTACGCTTCGGCGGGGAGGACGCGACGGCAATTCGGGCCTCCTCCCGGCCCCCTCCCCCAGGCCCACGGTGGCTCGGGCCGTTGGCGGCCTCGCCGCCCGCTCTCCCCGCCGCCCCCTCCCTCCCCCGCCGCCGCCGCCGGTGTCAATCATGGGGCTGGCGCAGTGCGAGGGGCGGGGCCGGCCACGCGCGCCGCTCTCGCGAGAGCCGCCCGCAGGGGGCGGGGAGCCCTGGGCCGGGGCGCCAACGGACGGGGCCACGTGCGGGCGGGGGGCGCTCACGGCGCGTCTTGTGGCCCGCAGAGACCATGGCGGCCCAGAGGGAATGGACCCCGATGGTGTCATCGAGAGCAACTGGAACGAAATCGTGGACAACTTCGATGATATGAACCTCAAGGAGTCCCTGCTCCGGGGCATCTATGCGTACGGGTTCGAGAAGCCTTCGGCCATCCAGCAGAGAGCGATCATCCCCTGCATCAAAGGTAGGCCGAGCGCCGCCGGGGCGGGAGGGGAGCCCCGTGTGACATGATGGCCTACCATCTTTCGGGACTGACCTGCAATGGAGAGAGTGTCTCTGCTGATCACAACCGAGGGGCTAAAAAAGGAAGAGGGTGCTCGCCTGGAAATGACTCTTTGTGGGAGCAGTAAATATGTATCCTACTTTTTTTAGGATATGATGTGATTGCTCAAGCTCAGTCAGGGACTGGCAAGACAGCCACATTTGCTATTTCCATCCTGCAACAGTTGGAGATTGAGCTCAAGGAGACCCAAGCACTAGTATTGGCCCCCACCAGAGAACTGGCTCAACAGGTATTGATAGCGTAGATCAAAGAAAACTGCTTGCTTTGTGGCAATAGTTTCAGGTTTCACAACTGTGTAGAACAGCTAATAGTTCATTTGGAGCTGCTGTCTTTTTCTGTCATCTACATGTGATGTGGCTATCCATAGTGTAGAATGCATGGGTTTGGGTTCAGGTACGATTGCTGGGATGTTTCCCAGCAAATAAATTCCAAGGTCTTAGTTTAATGTTTTGAATAAAAGATAGGACAGTTTTTTCAACTGAAAATGCAGTTGTGTAACATGAAAACAGAGGTGCACATGTGATAAGTTCACAATTTTTGTTTGTTGCTTTACATGTGTACCTGCCTTTCTAAGGCTTGCTTGCTACATTAGCATTATCTGTAGGCTAGATCTTAAATGCTATAGTTCTTTAGTTCTAAATAGATTTAATTAGGAAACATAAAAGTGATTTATGACAGTAAAAATTACAATATACTTAAGATTTCTTAGGTGATTAGAATTGAGTTGGTTATTTTTTTTTTTTTTTTTTTGTCAGGAAGGTTATTTCTGTTACTAGGCTGTCATAACTATGGCCTGGTAGAATAACAGCCACAAGTGCTACAAGCTACATGGATTAGATAGCCACAAGATAACTGGGGTTTTTTTTTGTTTTTGCATTTGACATGCAAAATTTGTCACGGTGATTTTGGATTAATATTAAATATGTGACTGCATGCTAGTCTGATTCCAGACGTGACTTAAGACATTTAGCATTTGCTAAGTTTTAGGTAGTATAGAATGCTTGTTTGGTAATTTTGCAAAATTGACTTTTTTTTCCTAAACTTAGATCCAGAAAGTAATTTTAGCTCTTGGAGATTATATGGGAGCAACATGTCATGCCTGCATTGGTGGAACCAATGTTCGAAATGAAATGCAAAAACTGCAGGCTGAGGCACCACACATTGTTGTTGGAACTCCTGGACGAGTGTTTGATATGCTAAACAGAAGATATTTGTGTAAGTTGAAATTGAGTGATTGGGTCTTAGTTTAAATACTCTAGATGTTATTAATGGGTACTTCTACTGTTTTCTCTTTAATGTGGGGTGGTTTTTTAATGAGTAGTATAAAAATGAAAACAGTTAAATATGTTGTAAGATGTGGTTAGATTCAGAAACTTCCTGGTTATAAATTTTTATAGGGAGACATTAATTATAATACACTCAAAATATAGTGTACTTATGGGGATAGAAGGGAATATGGCTTAAGAAAAATTCTTAACCAGAAGTAAAATTCAACATGGCGCTTTTTCTTAACAGCTCCAAAATGGATCAAGATGTTTGTTTTGGATGAAGCAGATGAAATGTTGAGTCGTGGATTTAAGGATCAAATCTACGAGATTTTCCAGAAATTAAGTACAAATATTCAGGTACAAATACCTGGATTTTATTCTAGCGTAAAGGGGTATTGCAGGATCAAGTTACAATATGGCTGTGAAGTGCCTATATTGTCGTTCCCCCTGCTCAAAACAAATGTTTCCTACTATCCCTGTCTAACTTGTCTATAGTAAGACAGGGACGCTTGGTCTCAAACATTTGCATCATTAGTAGAATTAAGGGTACTGAATTAAGCAGTTCATTTTTAAAAATACATATCCTTTTATCCAAAGGTTGTGTTGCTCTCTGCCACAATGCCAACTGATGTGTTAGAAGTGACCAAAAAGTTCATGAGAGATCCTATTCGAATTCTGGTGAAGAAGGAAGAATTGACCCTTGAGGGAATTAAACAATTCTACATTAATGTTGAAAGAGAGGTAACTTAAAAACTTTGTTTGGGAGGTTAATTTTGTAGCCAAAATTGTACCTTCTTGTTTAAAAGCACTGTGCTAAAATTGCAGAAATTAGGGCAATGCCTTGGTTTTTGTGATAATGCTAGCACAGTATATACAAGAAGAAGAACAAATGCACTAGATTGAAAAAAGACTTGGGTGGACCTCTTTCTTAATGTCCAGTGTCCTGTGTCTTAAGATCTTAGTGCTATATACATGAACCATTTACATTGACTTCCGGCCTTTCACTTCCTGGAATAAAGTATGGAGGTTTGTCTTTTGCCTTATTTGAGATGCAATCTTCTTTTAGGAATGGAAGCTGGATACTCTTTGTGACTTGTATGAGACACTGACCATTACACAAGCTGTTATTTTTCTGAACACGAGACGAAAGGTAGATTGGCTGACTGAAAAGATGCATGCCAGGGATTTCACAGTCTCTGCTCTGGTAAGAGGCATGGTATTTGTTATATAAGTCATTTTTCTCACTTCAGTGCATTTAATTGATGCAGGAACTAGTTACAACATAGCTATGAAGTGCTGTGTTGTCGTTCCCCCTGCTTAAATTAAAATGTTTTTTTTTTTTACTATCCCTGTCTGTTTTGTTTTATATGCCATAGCAGCTAGGGACGCTTGATCTCAAACATTGTTAAATGGCTTAAACCTTAGCCACAATTTGGCTATGATTTTTAAGCCCATGAACTTTTCAGTGATACAAGTTGAATAAAGTTAAGTACTTAATTCAATAGTAAATGTTAAGCATGGATTAGAAGAAAAAAGGTACTAAGATTTGAAATTTTGTTTGCTTTGTAGCATGGCGACATGGACCAGAAGGAGCGAGATGTTATCATGAGGGAGTTCAGATCTGGGTCAAGCCGGGTTCTGATCACTACAGACTTGTTGGTAATTATACATAACGTTTTAAAGGAGGGATACTTCAGAAGCCTCCCAAAAGCTGTGTATTTGGGAAAGGTCTTTTAATTACCTTTTTCCCAATTAAAAGCTGTCTGGGAGAGAAAAGACCACACTCCACAGTGAACTACAGTGTTGTAGTCCATTACCTACTTTGTGGCCAACAGTCGGTGCACAGGAAGAAATGGTGGGTTTGGAGTGGATTAATGAATGGCACTTAAGTTAGTCTTGCGGTTGAGCTAGCTTTGAGACTACAAGTTTGATGTGGAACTTAATTTTGTTACTACTTTTTCTAGGCTCGTGGGATTGATGTGCAGCAAGTATCTTTGGTTATAAACTATGATCTACCTACCAATCGTGAAAACTATATTCACAGGTTAGTAGATCCAATATGATTGGATTACATGTATCATTGTTTTATTTGCTGGCATTCTGTAGCTTCCAAATAAAATCGTGCCTTCAGGCTAGGCAGATTTAAATTCTAGGGAATAGATTTCAGGAAGAAAATGACACAGTGCTGCTATTTAAATGAAGTTTATTTCGGGGGAAGAACTCTTGGCTTAGTTACAACAGTGGGAAAACTTACCTTGAGTCTGGAACGTGTCACAAATTTTGGAAGTTTTGTAAAAGGAAAGGAAAAGACTCGCTTTAAATTGAAATTAGAAAAAGGGTTTAGGTCTTGTGGCATTATATTTGAACCTTAGTTCTTTAAGACTCACTGTGTTTCTCATATTGCTCCTGTGTCTTGTGCTTTCTTGGTGATTTTTCTCTAGTGGGATTCTCTCTTGGTGTGTTCTGGTAGTAACCGAGTTTTGTGTCCCTGGCATAGTTATAGTGGCTTGATCCCTAAATAATTAAATTGTGCTTTGTTACGTGATGTAAAAAAAGACTTTTTAAAAAATACAGGAGTCGATAGCAGCAGTTGATGACGTGAGATGGCACTCAGAAACGGCGTGACCTAATTTAGGACGTGGATTCATAAGCGAAACAGCACACTGTTTGAATAAAGAGCGAGTCGGTATTTATATATTTGTTTTTCTTTTGTCATGATTATTTGATATTTTAAGTTCCCAACGTCCTAGCCAAAGCCATTTTGTTGTGTATTAGCCTTTGTATATTAGGTGGTTTGTATTGTCTGGTTTCTATGAAGGAAGGCAGATGTTGGGTTTAAACCACATTTTCAGTAACTTGCAGTGTGGTTTGTGTGTGGAACTGAGCAAAAAGCAGTGATAAGTTTGGGTTTCCATACCAAATGGTTGGAGAATAAGGAGTTAAGTTTTCCCACTGAAAAAGAATTGTAAGTCCTAGAAAAATAGTTAACCTTCAAGTTATTTACGTTTACAGTCTACCAGTTCCAGAGGTGCGTCGAAATGGAGCATATAACAATTCTTTCTGTTTCATTCCTGGAGTTTACATCTGTCCCAGGCTGACCTTCGATCTATGCCCTTTGGTATGGGCTTAAATTCACTACCCCAAACAGAATACTGTCATCTGCTTAAAATCACAATGCTCAAGACCTGAGATCTCATTTTGCAGCCAGACACAAGCCTTGATCTGCTTACTTTTGGCACTAACTGCTAAGGAAGATCTTTTTCCCCTCATCTGGATACTTTGGTTTAGCAGCTAGTGCTCCAAATAGAAGCACTCTATTACCATGGCAAATTGGATCATCTCCTTGTGGGTTAAGGAATACCCTATAGTTATTACTGTTTTTCTTTTATGCAGAATTGGCAGAGGTGGTCGTTTTGGGAGGAAAGGTGTGGCTATTAACTTTGTTACTGAAGAAGACAAGAGGATTCTTCGTGACATTGAGACTTTCTACAATACTACAGTGGAGGAGATGCCCATGAATGTGGCTGATCTTATTTAATGCCTGGGATGAGATGGTTTTGAATGCAGTGCTCGCTGTTGCTGAATAGGCGACTCACAACGTGCATTGTGCTTCTTTCTTTGGGAATATTGAATCTTGTCTCAATGCTCATAACGGATCAGAAATACAGATTTTTGATAGCAAAGCGACTTTAGTCGTGAGCTCTTTGGGGAAAGAGCTATTGGCTTTCTCCTTTAGAGTTAGACTGTTGGGGTTGGGTGTAAAAGATATGGGGTCTGTAAAATCTTTCTTTATTAGAAATTTATTTCCTAGTTCTGTAGAAATGGTTGTATTAGATGTTCTCTATCATTTAATAATTTACTTGTGGACTAAAAGATATAAGTGCTGTATAAAATCAGCCAATTATGTTAAACTAGCATATCTGCCTTTATTGTGTTAGTAGACTGAATAGGAAAGGCTTTTCAAATGGACTAATTTTTTTTTTAAGAAAGCATTTGAATGCATTTTGTTTGGTATTGTATTTATTCAATAAAGTATTTAATTAGTGCTAAGTGTGAACTGGACCCTGTTGCTAAACCCCAGCAAGCAATCATAAACTAGATAGGGTTAAACCCAGTAAAATTGCCATATTGCACATGTCTTAATGAAGTTTGAATGTTCAATAAATTACTTGTATATTCACTTTGAATTCAAAATGATTGCTCTTGTTTAACTTATTGCCAGATTCCATCAATGGGTTGAGAAAGATAAGCATGGGTAGTAAGTAGCTTAAAGGACTGACCAGTCCTTTATTTGTCCTTAATACTTTCAATGAAGGGAGACATCTCCCCCTAAATAAACTAGGAGAGCAATCCATACATAAGATGGTAAGTAGTGGAAAGTATTTTTATTGCCAATGAAATGTACAAAAAATATTTCAATTCACATTGTGAATCAACTGCTGCATCACTGTAGCACATAAGCTGATTAGTTGTAAATGTTCATCAGCACCATCAGCTAGGCACTTGTCTACTTCCTGAAAGGGAAGAAAAAAAATATTTAGTTACTGTCCGTTCAAAACTTAGGGCCTATCCATACTGAAACCATTACAGCGTTTACTTACAGCAAGTTTCTCTGTGATGATGGATTTCTGCTTATCGGTCAGGTCATCTTTTTCTACCACCACATCATGGAGTTGGTTTATAAGCTGTGTTGCTGCATGCCCCTCATCAATTAAATCCTATTAGAGGCATAGAAAGGTTGGTTCTTTCTCCCCCCAAAGTTGGATAAAATAAGTGCATAAAAAAGAAATTAACCTTAACAACTGCTTCCAGTTTTTCAAAAGAGCCACTCTGGCAGGCGGAGAATATACCATTAATTGTTTCTGTAGGTACCACCTGGAAAGGAATGGGGCACAAATCAATTTGACACAATGCTATGTTTCTGTCACCCAAGTTAAGTTCCTAAGCTGTTTCTTTCCTAAAATGGAACAGAGGTTTGGCTCTCTTTAGTAGCAATAGATGCCCAGATAAATACAGCAAATCACTCATTAGTCCAAACTATACAAGGATTCCTTGGTTACCAGGAAGTGATTTTACTTTATGGATATGTTTAAATCTGCCAATCAACTCAACATTTTAACACCAAGAAGTGCCAACGAAGTCTAACCTACACTTTGGGTTTTCCTGTTCTGCTTGTTTGTCTAGGCGTAGGCACATAGTGCAATAATCCAATAATCATGCACATTTCATTTAGCCATTTCCCAATCAAGACACTTGACATTTATTTATTACTGACTTAATTATAAAACTAATCTCTTCAGTTTGTAATTGCCTCTGGTATTCTAATTCTACTAAAAATGGCGTTGTGATGGTACTAATTAATGTAAATTTAAGTAAAAAACGTATACTACACTACAGTTTTAAGTTACTTCAGTAACTTCAAAGAGTTTTCTTGGAAACACTCCTAAGTTACTGAAGTAAATCTTTCAGGTGTGTTTTTAACTGTGAGCTGACAACTATGTCTATGACCAAGGCAGTTTGGCGCTATCCAGGAAGAACGTGTTCTGAGTTCTGACTACCCACCCTACTGAAAGTAGCCAGGTAGCTTGCAAGTAGGATTGATTCTAAATGTGGCTTGGCTTGAGGTGTCCTCTGGAGAACAGCTCAACGGTAGCCTTGGCATGGGCAGGGACAGCTTAATCAAGTGGCTAGAGCTCTGGGCTCAGATTGCTCAGACACAAGCTGCAATCCATCTATAAAATGGGAATAGCATCTACTTAGGGTTATTGTGAGGATCAAATGAGCAATCCAAGCAAAACCTTGAAAGGCTGGATGAATCATTTACTGTTAGCAACAAAAAAGGGGTAGAGAAATGAGGAAGATGTCATGTAGGCTTAGAGTAGATGGAAAACTTTGAAACATTGACAGCCATCCAAAAGCAAAATGGGTTAGGTCCTGTTGGTTCTATTGCCTTTTAGGGACTCCCTCAACTCAGGCATGGGCAGGGGCTTTCTGAGATGGGGATGACACCTGAAGACACTTGGCTGAAGTGGCTGCACTCTGCCCTCAGCCAGACACTGAGCCCATCTATCATCAGGGCTCTTCCCTCTTCCTCTGCCTTGATTTATTTTCGGGGGGTGGGGGTGGGGGTGGGAGCTGCCCATGCACACTAGAAGAAGAGCCTATGTTTTAGCAGGTAAGGTTTCAAAGGTTTTGACCTTTGTTTGTGATGATGGCTATGGTCAAAGAAGAGGTGGAATTTAGGGAACTCACCAATAAAATCTTTGGCGTCCCTCTACATCTGTCGTTTACCTAATGTTATTCCTCTAAGACATGGGCCCTGCTTCCTGTTGGCTACAGGTCAGCAGAATCACAAGCAGCCACAGAGTTTCTCTGTACAGAACAACAGGGCAACTCCACACTTCAGTAAGATCATTTAGAAGAAAATTTCTTCCCTAATATTTTCTACTACCCACAAAAAAAGGGCAAAATACAGTAAGGGCCCCAAGAATATACAGACTGAAAAAAACAGAACATGCCAGTGCTCCTACCCCAGCAATCTCTGTGATCACCTTCTCTGTGACTTCTTGCCCACCTGTCAATCGAGTTGCACTCTGAAGAAATGTGATGGCTTTTCGTAGGTCTCCTTCTGACACTTTCACAAGGTAAGATATTCCCTAAAAAAGGGAAACACAAAGATGTTCTCCTGAACAAGCAACCGTGGCAAATAACCAGCCTAAACATTCAGATGAGATTCATCTACACAGGAAAAACTAGCCTTAAAATTCTAGATGCTGAACATTTTCCCCTATGTTTTCCTGTTACCTTAGTAGCCAAACACTTGTATGGTTTCCTAGACACTTGTTTACCCTTGAAATAATGAGGGCAGAAAATCCAATTACAGCATCAGTGTGAATGGCACAAGTGAGTGCAACCTGGTCTGAGAACTCAATTCACATAAGAATGAGGGGAGGGAGAGGGAAGAAATCCCTCCTGAACCCTTTGCATTAAGCAAATGTAAATCATTCTATATCTGAATGAAAAAGAGGGCTGCTCTTATTCAGTTGCGTTCCGACTCTTTGTGACCCTATGGACCATGCTGTCCGTGGCTTTTTCTTGGTAAAAATGGAGTGGTTTGTCATTTCTCTCTCCAGTGGATTAAGACAAACAGAGGTTAAGTGTCTTGCCCAGAATCACAAAGCTAGTCTGAGGCTGGATCCCATTACAAAGGTCTAGGGACTACAGGATTTTTCCCTGTATTAAAATGTGACTACATCAAATACTGGTTGAAACAAATGGGCCAATAACTAAGAGGAATAAATCTCTTCATTAAGCAGAAATATGTATCTAGGATTTGTAGAGAGAGTGAGTGTGTCTGTGTATGTATGTGTTGTGTGAATTAACTTTAACAGCAAAGGAAACTCCACAGCAACCCTATGACATCGCTAAGGCTCCTGTGTTCCAGCTATTGCCAACTGACCTGACCTCCATTTGTAGGCTGGGCTACCAAAAGCAAATCAGGCATTTCAGCTTTCATAGCTTTTTCAAATAACATGCAGAGCAATTAGGTCACAGTCACCCTACCTCATTACTGATTTTCACATTTTCCTTCTCAGAAATGTCTAGTAATCTCTGATGTTGAATTTTATCTGACAAAGGCTTGAAGCGGAATTTGGAACATCGAGAGGTTAAGGGCTCAATTATCCTGTAAGGAAAAAAGGGATCAGGTTGAAAAAGTGGCAACTGTCTGCAGAGAATTTCTCAAGAACTTGGATTTACCAAGAACAGTTTAGGCCTTGAGCCAAGAAGAAATCCTAGCACATTAGCACCCTGACCACCTCCAAAAGTTGTTTTGCTTGTTCTTTAACTTGGCTATCAAGGAAGTCTGAAGAAGAAAGGGAGCACACATACCGACTAACGTAATTGCAGATGAGGCAGAATCGAGTTGTTTTGGACTCTTTTTCCATTGTACGTCTTAAAGCGGCTTGGGCTGCAGAGGTCATAGAGTCAGCTTCATCCAGAATTACAATCTTAAAAGGAGGACACGGCTTCCCACTATATCAAAGAGAGGAGGTCAACAGTAACCTAGAGATGCTTCTCACGACGTATGTATAGCAACCCCAAGTCCTGAGCACTGTGCCGAAAGCATTCTGTCCAAGAAACTGCTAGCAAAATTGACTTCAGGAAGATAAACACACACTGGCCTTGACTGGTTTTTCAAATATCCCCCACCCCAATTCAATAACATTTTAAAAATCTATTCTGCTATGAAATATTTCCAGATACAAAAAAATTAAACTCTTGACTTGTGACACCCAAAGGCAAAAGAAGACTATGGGCTTTTCTAATTTAATTCATACCTAAAAGCAATCAGAAGTAAAGGCCTTATTTCTCAAATATAAGAGAACTGACTCAAATTTATAAGAATACAAATCATTCCCCAATTGATAAATGGCCAAAGGATATGAACAGGAAGTTTTTAGATGAAGAAATGAAAGCTATCTATAGGCATATGAAAAATGCTCTAAATCACTATTGATCAGAGAAATGCAAATTAAAACAACTCTGAGGTACCACCTCACACATCAGATTAATTAATATGACAAGAAAGGAAAATGATAAATATTGGAGGGAATGTGGGAAAAACTGGAACAGTAATGCCCTACTGGTGGAGTTGTGAAATGATCCCACCATTATGGAGATCCATTTGGAATGATGCCCAAAGAGCTATAAAATTGTGCATACCCTTTTGATGGAATCCTAATAAAGCTGCCCCCAGCCCAACATTCTAACTTCCTTATGGGCATCACTGAACAGCAGGCATGCCCTGATTCGACCACATAATCTGGCTTTAACCACACCACAGGCCTCAGACTCAATCACAGGCTTCACTGCACAGCAGGCCCACTGCCCCAGCCACTGCACTGCCCCCCCCTCTCCCCAAATATCCTAACTTCTTCATATATGAATGTCTCACTAGAATAATGGGTGTGTCCATGCACTCAACCACTACCACATCTATCTAATCTCAGACAGGGCCACAACAGCTAGCCAATCAAAAAGCAGTACCACCAGGATACCAGGGCAGGATGTAGATCCCAAAACAATAGAAAGGACTTTCCCTTATGCATCTTCACAGTAATAGCAAAAGATGTCCTTTAGGTGAACTTATGATGTAGAGACTTATTATAATATCATTATCATATATTAATGCCCCCTCCCATTGGGCTTTTCTGTATGCATTATGGGTAATCACATGCACAGTTCCACTGAGGCTGGGACCCTCCTCTATTACCTAATCCCTTGACAAAACCTTCCTGCCTTTTTAACATGCGTAATTTCTTTGGTGTAACCAGCATCATTACACTATAAAATTGCCTGTCTTGTCTTACTGAAGTTGCTGGGTCCTGTTGAAACCCTGCCTGCTTGCTGAGAGGCAATACCCGCAATAAATGCCTTTGCTTGGATTGGAGATGGTCTGAGTCTGAATTCTTTCAAAATGACCCCCGCAACACATCATGAAACAACACTCTGATCCACCAATACCACCGCTAGGTCTGTATCTCAAAAATTAAACTCTTGACCTGAGCAAAGGGCAAAAGACTGTGGGCTCGTCTAATTTAATTCATGCCTAAAGCAATCAGAAGTAAAGGCCTCATTTCTCAAATATAAGAGAACTGACTCAAATTTATATGAATAAAAGTCATTCCCTAATTGATAAATGGTCAAAGAATATGGACAGGAGGTTTTTAGATGAAGAAATCAAAGTTATCTATGGTCATATAAAAAAATGCTATAAATCACTATTAATTAAAGAAATGCAAATTAAAACAACTCTGAGGTACCACCCCACACTCATCAGATTGGCTAATAGGACAAGAAAGGAAAATGATAAATATTGGAGGGAATGTGGGAAAACTGGGATGGTAATGCACTACTGGTGGAGTTGTGAAATGATCCAACCATTCTAGAGAACAATTTGGAATTATGCCCAAAGGGCTATAAAGCTATGCATACCCTTTGACCTAGCATTACCACTACTAGGTCTGTCTCTCAAAGAGATCAAAAAAAAGGGGAGAAGAACCTATTTGTACAAAAATATTTATAGAAGCTCTTCTTGTGGCAGCTAAGAATTGGAAATTTGAGGATGCCTATCAATTAGGGAACGGCTAAACAAGTTGTGATATATGATTGTAATGGAGTATTATTGTGCTGTAAGAAATGACAAACAAGATGATTTCAGAAAAAACTGGACTTACACAAACTGATACAAAGTGAAGAGCCAGGAGAACATTGTACACAGTAACAGCAATATAGTACGATGAAGAACTGTGAATGACTTAGCTATTCTCAGCAATATAGTGATCCAAGACAATCCTAAAAGACCCATGATGAAAATGCTCTCTTTTTGGAAAAAGCTAATGCTGTTTGAATACAGAATGAAGCATTTATTCTCTCTCTCTCTCTGTCTCTGTCTCTCTCTCTACCGTCTTGCGAATGCATGTGCACAAAACGACTAATATGGAAATGTTTTACATGATGAAGGGAGGTACAGAATTTGGAACTCACAAAAAACAAAAAAGAATGTTAAAAATTGTTTTATATATAATTGGGGAAAATAAAACATTATTTTTAAAAAATCAGAAATTTTAAGGTATGTGTAAGAATGAGGTGATCCTTGCCCTTTTCATCTGAACTACCAACTCCTACCCTGACCAATATAGTAGATCTCCGAAAAATAGTAACAAAAATCTCTACAAGGGAAAAAGACACTGAATGACCACCTAAAGGTTAGATGTAAATTTAAACTGTACAAAAATGGGATGCAAAATTAGAAAAGACTCATTGATCTTGGTACATTATATTTGGAACAAAAGGGTATTTTGTTCCAGAGAAGGAAATACTTGGCTTACTTACTCGGAACGACTTCCTGACACAGTTAGTTGAGCAAACGTCTTTACTTTCTCCCGAATAACTTGTATTCCACGTTCATCTGATGCATTCAATTCAAGAACTCTTTGTCGGAAAAGCTCAGGTCTGTACAAAGAAAATTAAGGGTCATGTGCACTCAACCCATTTCTCTATATTTTCATGTTTTGTGGCATTTTAATAGAACTATACCTAGCAAATAACATTTTTGGGGGGAGGCAATGGGGTTAAGTGACTTGCCCAGGGTCACATAGCTAATAAGTGTCTGAAGCCAGATTTGAACTCAGGTCCTCCTGACTCCAGGGCTGGTGCTCTCTCCATTGTGCCCCACAAATTATAGTTTTAACAAAAAAGGCAAACCCAGATCACTGGAGTTTGAAGTGACCTTGGAGGTTACCTAGTCTGAACTTTACATTTTACAGATGACCCGAGGAGGTCCAATCCCCCCCCCCACCTGCCCACAAGGTAATCCATAATTAGCAGCTGAGGTGGGACCAGAATGCAGACCTCCAAGGTCTTTCCAAAATTTTTCTTACCAGTGTCCCTATAATCTTTCTCTTTAGATAGCAAACACCACCTCTCAAACCAGAACTTCAAATTAAAACACACACACACACCTTCTTGCTTCCTTCCTACTTATCTGACTGGTCCTTAGTATCCTCTGTTGGATCAATGTCCATATCCTGCCTCCTTAGTGTAGGTGTTTAATTTCCATTACTGGTTTTTCGTATCTTCTCTCTTGAGATCTCATCAATTCAAGAATTAACCCTAGGCAGATGACCACCCAATCTGTAAATCCAACCCTACCCTCTGCACTAAATTCTAATCCTTTGACTGTAGATGTGAGCATTTTAGTGGACTGAGAGTGAAGTATGGCGGCCCCAAAGCTAATGAGATTTGGGCTATATAGAGAGGCATGGCTTCCAGGAATAGAGAAGCTGTCATCTGCACTGGATGAACTACCTCTGGTAGACTGTCCAGTTATGGGCACCACAGTTTATATAGGATACAAGGGCAACTAGAATAGCAAAAGGCTTTTGAGTCTATGCTGTATGAGGACTGGTTGAAGAAACTGGAGATATTTAGTCTGGAGAAGACGAGGCTCATGGGAGATGTGATGGCAGTCTTTAAATTTCTGAAGAACTGTCATTCAGAAGAGGGATTAGATTTGTTCTGTTTGGCCTCACACTGTAGAATCAGGAGCAATGGATGGATACTGAGAAGTCAAATTAGGCTCAATATCAGAAAAAACCTCCCTAATAATAACAACTTTCCAAAAGTGGACTGGCTGTCATTAGAGGTAGAGAGTAGGTTCCTGTTACACCTCAATAAAGGATTTCAAGCACAGAGCAGAAGGCTATTAGTTGAATGTGGTGTAGGGGATTCTTTTTTTGGTATGGGTCAGGCTAGGTGGCCCAGGGTCCCTTCCAACTCTGAAAGCCTGTATTTCTGTGATTGTGTACAGCCTGCTAGTACCTCCCACTAGATGTCTCACGACATCTCAAAGGCAACATGTCCAGAGCAGAACTCATTATCTTGGCCCCCGAATCTGCTTATCCTCCAGCTTTCCTTATCTGTGTTGAAGACACTGCTATCCCCTCAGTTATACAGGACTGTAACTTCTGACTAATCCCTTACTTTTCCTCTTTCCTTGGCTCTCCTAGATCCAACCTGCTGGCTGTTCTGCTCAGTTCTACCTATATGACATATGCCATAGGTTCCCTTCTCTGCTCCCACACAGCCACTAGCCCTCTTGTTCAGGCCATCACTGCTCCCCTGGACTTCTGCACTAGCCTCCTTCTTCAAGTCAGCCCAATCTCTACTCCCTTTGCTCCCAAACTGATGAGTGACACTTCACTGCCTACAGAGTAAAATACAAGCTCCCGAGGCTCTCCGTATTCTGGCTCCAACCTATTCTTCCAGTCTTATTTTATCCTCCTTCAAACTCGATTTTATCCAAACTGGACTACTAGCTGATCCCTAAACTTCCTATTTCATCTCCATCTCCATGCTCTAGGACAGGCTGCCCACCATGCTGGGAATGCTCTCCTTCATCCCCATTTCTCAGAACCATTCTCTTCCTTTAAAGCTCAGCTAAGACTCCTCCTCCTCATCTTCCTCCGCGAGGCCTTGTCTTACCACCCCAAAGCAAGCTTCCATCCTTCCCAATTTTCCTTGTACTGATCCCACTCCCCCAACTAATACAAGCTTCTTGAGAGCAGTCTCTTCCATGCCTTTGTATTCCCAGTGCCTAAAAAAGTGCTTTGTACACAGGAGGCAGCTAATAAATGTTTCCTGAATTTACCTGAATTACCACATCCAGTGATCTGCTGTTAAGCTGCAAAGCCAGAAACAAAAAACACTGGCTTACCCATAGAGCTCCCTTGCAGCTGCCAGAATGGTGGAGGTTTTTCCAGTTCCAGGTGGTCCATAGAACAAAAGGTTGGGGAGCTGTGGAAACACAAGGTTGGAGTTTACCGCCATAGGCCACACTCAGAAGAGGCATATGGAGACGACCCTGAGAGGAGGGCAGGTAAAGAAGCAGAGCCAGATCAGTGCCCTGAGCTGACTGAGCAGCCACTGGATTTGTTCTAAGAATCCCTCCCTCTTTTCCTGGGGTCACTCTGCTTGGTGGCAGAAGTGATGTGATGTTGGACATACTGGAGCTCATATGAATTCAACTTTTTCAATCCTGCTCTATGCTAGGGATTTCCAATTTTTAAGTCACCTTATTAAGTAGAAAAAATGTCCACAGATGTGCTTCCCCCCAAGTCCCTCTACCCTGGGTAGCTACACTGATGAAGAAAAGCCACAAGGACCGAAAACTGCTATAAATCCCAGGGGCTGTAAAAGGGTCTGGACCTGTGATTTCATTGCAATAGAGAAAGTCAAATGAGGAAATCCCACCTACCAACGGGGCTGGAACCTGTTCATATCGGAGGTGAGACTTGAACCCAGGGCTTCTTGGCTCTGAGGTTAGCTGTCTTTATCACACCATGCCTCCTTCTCAGCAGGTACAGGCTGAACTAAGTGGATGCTTTGGTCCCTTTTGCTTCTGAAGTTGCAATTTAGTGAGATACACTTCTCACAATAACTCAAGGCCTCTCCACCCACCCACTGAGAAGCAATTCAAGATGTTCCATGCAATGCTTGGAGAGGGGGCATGATGGCCCGAAGAAGGGCATTACTCTGCCTCTTTTGTCCTATTTAATTCCAGTGCCCTCACTTCCAAGTGAGTCCAAAACACCTCTTCCAGCTCCTCCTCTGAGTCTTCTCTGGCCTGCTCTACCCTGCAGAAGGTGAGCATGTGGGGTGACAGAGGTGGAAAATAGGCATTAACCGGCTTCTTCTATCAGTGGCTGAATCTCCCGCTTGGCCTTTCACTGTGCTGTTCAGAAAATAGCACTGACAAGTTGTGCAGAGTAAAAACCACATAAGGTAATAATTACTTATGCTTTTCAGTTGTATTTTATTACTGGTCAATGGAAGGTCTACTTTTTTAAACTGAGCCCATTTAAGAGACAAAGGTCTCTGACTGACCTATCCAGACTTAAGGGCTACAGTGAAGTGCAAGCAGACAAACCTTCTTCTCGTCTCTGTATGTTCTCTCCCCCCTCAGCAATGCCATCTGCTCCCTGGAAACGGTCTCAGAGGTCTTGGTTTTAATTATGGCTCTGCCACTTACTCCTTAGGTGTCCTGTCATTCAACCTCTCTAGGCCTCACTGTTCATTTCTGTGGGTCCTGACTCCCAAACCAGAAGTAAAGATTCTCAAGGGAGATAACTATGTCTTAGACTTCTTGGCATCCTCCCTAGAAGCCCCGGCCTGGCTCTGTACATGGACTGGGCATTCACTAAAGTCATGCTGAATCAAACTACCCTCCAACCCCTGTCCTCAAGTTAGTTGGTAGATACTACCAGGAAATGCTATCCTGTCATTCCCTCAACCCACAACTAGTCAATAAATACATACCATGGGCTAGGTCTTGGGGTGGAGAGAAAGAGTGCCATCGAGTGAGACAATGTCTTAGAAAACTATGGTTATTAAGGGTGTGCTCTAAAACCCAGAGTTGTGGTGAGGATCAAATAAGACATATCTTTAAAGGACTTGGCACAGTACCCAATATGAAGTAGGTGCAATACAAATGCTAGCTATTATTATGTTGTTACTACCTATTAATAATACATGGAATTGTCAAGGTGGATCCCATGGAGCCACCACTAACTGTTTGGGAATTTGGAGATTCGGGAGGAGGAGCCAATGGTCTGACTATCAGAACAGAGATGAAATGGTGTGTGCATCTATTCTGGTGTTCCTGATGGAATGGCTGAAGGAGCACCACAAATGTCTAGATTATCTGTGTTCTCATGGTGATAACAGGACACAGATCCACATGGGCACATGTAATGTTCTGATGATGCTAAGGACTTGGTATGAAAAGTTATCAATCCCACTCTAGGAGAACATATTTCCAAGTGATAATTAAACAAGGTTCAACTCACGTCTGCTCCTTCTAAAGATTTTTTCAACACTGCAACTACTTCTTCCTGAAAAGCAACTTCATCCACACATCTGGGACGGCTAGGAATAAAAAAATTGGTGTTTAGTTGTTAGCAAAGATACTGAAAAGTTCCATGTGTTACTGTTGCTAGAAGTCAATTACAGTCCTTAATATGTACTAATAGAAGAGGAAGGGGAAGAGAAATGCTTTGGAATTAGAGCCATGGGGACAGGGCTATATTATTACTGCTAACAAAGAGATGTGTAGGGATGAGGATTTCCTTAGATTTTCTAGCTGGTTCTTTGTCTGTCACACCTGTAACATCAAAGTAAAAGGTTTTTCTAGACCTTGTTGTTCAGTTGTGTCTGACTCTTGGGTGTTCTTGGCAAAGCTCATTTTACAGATGAGGAAAGGGAGGCAAAACGATTAAGTGACTTGCCCAGGGTCACACGATTAGTAAGTGTCTGAGGTTTCACTTCAATTCAGGTCTTCCTGACTCCAGACCCAGTGCTTTATCCGGTGCACCGCCCAGCCAACGCCTGGACCTAGAAAACTCATTGCTGTAATTTTTTTTGTCTAAAAGTAGTATTTTAGCAAGATTCTACTGAACCAGTAAAGGCGAGTTGCAGCTCTAAATGCCAGCTGTAACTGCATGCTAAGTGAAGCCAGCACAGGAGCCCCGGATCACACGGACAGAGTCACCGTGGCAGGAAAGACCGAGGACTCTGGGGACCCACAGCAAAGGGGCTCCGCAACCGCATCCCATTGAGTTGGGTCTGGGCGAGAAGGCCCGCGCTAGGGGTGGTGACGGCTGGGGGAGGGGTCTGTCCACGCTCACCGGGGGCGGGGCTCTTACTATTTCTCCACCCACGGCACAGGCTTGGCCCTTCGGCTCTCGGCGCTGCTGCCCGAGGGGGCCGCGGGTCCTCGGTCCTTCGTGGGCGGCGGCTTGGTGCTGATGGAGGCCGGCCCTTTGAGGAAGGCCTGCATGGCCGCTTCCCCCTGCCCGGGGAAGGGCGAGAAGCGGGATCGGTCCGGAGGCGGCCCCGAGGGCCACCCGAGACGAGTGGGTCACGCACACGGGAGGAGGACGGCCGCGGCTGCCCTCTGGCCCTCCTTGGAGAGGCGCTACACAACCGGGCGGGGAGTCGCTGTTTGGAGCTCGCCGCCCGCCGCTCCTGGCCCCTTCGCTCTCCGCTCACCCCGCGGCGCTTCAGCTCCCAGTTCCCGCCACCGAACAGCCTGCCGGGAGCCGGGCACGTCACTTCCGGTGGAAGAGGGGCGCCCGAGCCGAGGAGCCGGCAGAACTGCGTCAGGCGGGAGCGGAAGCGGGTCCCCGTGGGATGGATTTCTGTTACGTCCGCAGGAGATCGGCTGTCCCTGGAGGGCAAGGACCAGCCGTACTTTTGCCTTTCTTTATGTCTCCAGAGCTTAGCAAAGGGCGAGGCATACAGTAAAGGCTCAATAAATGCTCGTGGACCGACCGCCACCTTCCCCCAAGTACTAGGCAGCAGCCTGGAGCCCTGCTCAAAGATGGCTTCGAGGAGGGCCACACAGCACCAGCACGCATGCGCTAGTTTCTCTCGCCCTCCCGCCCCGCATGCGCAATGTGCTCTGCGTGTATCGATGGCTCCGGGCCTAAGCCGGACGCTGTTGGCTCAGTGGCTCGACTTTGTGACGGCACCGACGGCTAAGACACTTTTGTGGAAAACAGCACGGTCTGTTTAGGGAGCATCACGTGCCTCTCTCCCCGAACCCAAAGCGGGCGTAGAAGGGGCTCTTCTGCAGCCCTTACACGCTGGACATTCGCCCTTCTAGCCAGCCTAAACTCGCCTCCCCGCCCCGCCGCAACACCTCCTGATTGGTCCTAGCTCAGGTCCCTGGGGCCAATCGGAACAAGGCACCAGGGCCCCGCCCCCTTCCCCATCTATTCCGAGCCTCCTGCAGGAGGCCTCTGTGATGCGTTTCACGTGTTGCTCTCTAGGTTGGCTAGCTTGTCCTTCCGAACTCCCTTTAAAAAAAAAATGCTTAAGTGGCCTTTTCTTTCTCTTGGGGGTCAATTACTCCTCTCCCAAACTGCCTCCACTTGAGGCGAAGGTAATACTTTGCTCCCAGAAGCAAGGTGGGAGCCGCACAGGCTGCCGTTTCCAGCCCTTCACTTCTCTCTGGACCAAAGCCCGTCCCAGGGCTCCTTCCAGGCCAGAGAGAGGAGGCCTCGGGAAGTAACCCCGCTTTCCCAATGGCTCCTGCTGCCTGCCTGATCACTCTGGGTCGATGAGTTAGGCTTTGTGGGCATATTCTCCCTAATTTGAAAGAATGTGAAGGTACTAAAAGAGATTTTAATTTACATGGAAATTTGATCCCTACTTCATAGGAGGCAGGCAAAGGTCAGAGACTTCTGGGATCCTGAATGTTGACAGCTCTGAGAATGGTAACTCAAAATCAGAGTAGGCACTGGGCCCCTCACAAACCACCTACGGCTGGGAAAAGATCTAACAAGGCTGAAACAAAGCAGTAGGCTGAGGGAAGGTCCTGGGACAGTTTCCCCAGGCCCCCACCGTAGCAGAGAAACAGCACGAGCTGGAATCACTATACCAAGGAGATGGGGGTATTTCCCACACTCTCCCTTTTGCTTCTGAAGTTTATGAAGCTTTTGTAGAAGTGAGCGGCTACAATCACCCACAGACCATTTATCTTCCTGTGGCAGGAAAAAAGATTAGTTATTGATGAAAGGAGCTAAGAATCCAATGCTGTTGATATGGCAACTTCTGGACTAGCTGTCCTGGCTGAAAAACAACCCCACTCTCATTGCTGAGTTCCTGTACTTGGCAACCTGGGGACTCCTGGCATTGCAGTAAAAGCTACTGCTGCCCTCTTGCTTTCACACGGCTGGCACTCTCCCGTTTTCAGGTTACAGATGAAGTCCCAAATTGCCCGAAAGCCCCAAGAACTTCAGTCAGTGTGGTTAAGTGCAGACAGGCATCAGCAGCTGTCCTGACCTCTGTTGGATGCCAAGGCCTTGGGGGCATAGGAGGCCCAGTCCACAGAGAGAGAGGAAGAAGAAGCCATGAATGATGGCTATTTTTATTAGGACCATGATCATTATTAAGATGCCTTCCCCAACCCCACTGAGGGACAACAATGGAAACATTTGTTTATGACTTAAAAGCCCAGGCTACCCTGACTCTGATTTCAGCAGCAGACTGCAGCCAGGCGACAGCAATCTGACGGTCCTCAGCACCCCAAGCAGGCTGATGTCTACACCCACCAAGAGAGACCACTGGTAAGCTTGAAGGTAGATGGGAAGAGAAGGGAAAGGACAGGAAAAGCAAAGGCAAAAAGGGAGGAAGGAAGAGGAAAGAGACCAAAAGGAGATCCGTCGTTCCTTAGAACAAAGACAGCTATCCTTCATGACACTTCAAATTTTAGGAGCTCTTTATTCACCAACAACCCTGAGATGAGTACTACAGACATCATTTTCCCCATTGATCAGATGAGGAAGCTGAAATTCAGAAAGATCGAAGGCAACACAGCTCAGCATATGAATTCCCATCTTTACCAACTGCAAACCTCGACCTTTGTACCACACCAGTACTAGCAAGGTTTGGGGACTTCAAGAAATACAAAAAGCCCCGCACTACGCTATCCTAAGGGTTTATTGACAGGACTCCGGAATGAATTTACTAGCTGTGTGACTGGGCAAGTCACTTAACCTGTGCCTGCCTCAGTTTCTCCATTTGTAAAAATAACCACCTACTTGTGTAGGTCTGTTGTGAGGATCAAATGAAATAATATTTGGAAAGTAGTTTGTAAACCTTAAAGGACTATTTAAATTCTAGCTTCTATTGTTATTATAAAAGGGATTCACTAGCCACACTCCTCTCAACTATGATGCTGGCCACCTAGCTGCCCCCAATGCTGACTTTCTTCACTTCCATGTTGCCCCTGCATCCCTGCTCTCCTCTGGTGGGGGGAGGCAGCAGGGGCTGGTCTAAGCAGTGGACTGGTTCTGGATGACCTCCAGGTGTTAGAGAGCTTTGGAATTCTTATCTGGAGGTAGACATATAGGGAAAAAGAGTCTTTAATGAATGCCCTGATCTTAGGGTGACCAGATAAGGCTGAACACAGAGACTGGCAGGCAGGTTTCCTTGGTAGTGAGGGGCTGCAGGTTCAGACCTTCATCAGCCATTTCAAATTCTTGTACTAGTACAATGCCTCTGCTCAGGGTACAGGTGCCTGGGTCTGATCAGCCTGCATACCCAATCATACTGCCCCTCAGAGGCCTGCAAACACAATAAGCTCTCAGCAAATACAGACTGAGAGGGAAAGGGAGAGGATAGGGAAGAGGAGCATATGATGGCATGTGGCATGTTTCAACCAGTGATTGCCTGACTTGCCACTCAAAGTAACCAGTAGACAAAAACTGCTAGAATAACTGATAAATTCCTAAGAACAGCCCTTGAACACAACATGAAAGCTACCTGTATTTATCCTTATCTAGGCTACTTGCATTTGGTGTATTGAAAGATGCTCTGGATCTGCTTCTCCTAGACTGGTACACTGATAAAGGGGGCGGCTAGGTGGCACAGTGGATACAGCAAGAGGTGTAGTCAGGAAGATCTGAGCTCAAATTCAGCCTCAGATACTTACTAGTTGTGTGGGCAAGTCATTTAGACTCCATTTGCCTCAGTTTCCTTGTCTGTAAGATGAGCTGGAGAAGGAAATGGCAAACCACTCCAATATCTCTGACAAGAAAACCCCAAATAGGGTCAGGAAGGATTGGACACAACTGAAAATGCCTGAACAACAACAAAGACCTCTCAGATTACAGTTCAAGGCAGGCCTTGTCTCCTCTCAGGACCAGATCCAGACAAACTAAGACCCAGAGGAGAGGAGAGATGGTCACTGTGCATGTAACCTCAAAGTCTTTTTCCACCAGATGCATTTGCACACAATCAAAAAACCCAGTTGGAATGAGTATCAGGCTGTCTCTGTTCTTTGCAATTCTGGCCTGGATCTGCAGTTTCCCCTTTACCTGGCTCTACAGAGAATCCCAGGTTTCTGGGCATCTCTGATTGGATCTCGACTCCCCACTACCCCAATCTCAGGGCCCAGCACTTCACTGAGTTGCCCAGGGTCACATGGCCAGCCAGTGCCAGCTGGACTGACTTGGAGTGATGGAATCAGCCTGCAGTCAGTCAGCTTCAGGGGAGGTCACAGAAGACTTCAGAGAGAAGTAGAGGAAAGGAAGAATCCTGGAATGTCCTACTCCAAAGGGAGCTCGGCAGCCTCCTAACTCAACCTCTATCCCAGAAGGAATAAGTGACTGTCTAGCTGGGGCTTGGAGACCTCCAGAGATGGAGGCAGCAGCTCATTGCACTTTGGGGGTATCTCGAACTGTTAGAAGTGTCTTCCTACAACAAGCCTCAATTTTCCTCTTTCATCCACTGCTCCTAGTTATGCCTCTAGGGCCATGCAGAACATATCCGATTTCTCCCCCATAGACCAGCCCTTCAAACACCTGAAGACAGCTCTCACACCCCCCAAGCCTTATCTTCTCCAGGTTAAATCTACCCAGTTTTTCTAGCGGATCCTCATCAAACATGGAACCAAGGCCCCCCACCATCCCTAGCTGTCCATCCTTCCTGTTGATGAATGCCCAGGATGGAACACAAGTGTCCAGTGACTGTCACTTCCATATTCCCAGGAACCACACCTCCTTCTGCAGCTCAGGGTCCAATTAGCTTTAGGCTGCCACAGGACTCCTACCAGGGGGGCAATCTGCTCTCTTTCAAACAAATGGCTCTTTAACCATGCCATCGGGCACCATCTGAGCACAGGCTTTTTTACCTTCAACAACATACTCACCTACTTGGCCAGTCAGATCAATGACAGCCCTCCAGGAGGCCCTCATCTGAACCGGCTTTGTTCCTGCCAGTCTTAATCTCCAGCCTTCTGAGGTTGCACTCTCGGATGCAATGGAGAAAAGGAGGATGATGCCTAGAGGGCAAAAGGTCATGGGCTGATGAGCCTTTGCCATCTCAAACATTTACATATTTTCCTATTGGATAAGACAAAAGGGGGAACAAAAAATGCCTCCTTGTTCTCAATTTCTGGTTCACAGGGAGTTTTTCTCCTGTAAATACAGGAGAAATCCCACCACTCACCCTTATTACATACAAATTGT